TTTTTATACAATTTGATGTATTATTAAAAAGATTAATTTTTTTAATTCATATGAAATTTATGATATTAAATGTATCTACTCATTTAATAATATGTAAAAATTATATAAAAGACAATCTCAAAGTCTTAAAGTGGGGAAAAAAAAATGAGACTTTTGAAAAAGATTAATTTTTTTAATTCATATGAAATTTATGATATTAAATGTATCTACTCATTTAATAATATGTAAAAATTATATAAAAAAATAAAACAAAATATTATCTTTATAGCATCAACACATGTTTTTATTATAAAACTGTTTGACTGTTTGAGGTAAATAGTAAGAATAAAAAGTGTGGGGGTACCTTTGGTAAAGTTATTTAAATATTTTTAATAAATTATTTATATATAATAATTTATATTTAATATTTATGTTTTTTATAGACATTTTTGTTTTTGTTTTTTTCAAATCGACCTAACAATTTATACTTCCTTTCTTCTTCTTCTTCTTTTTTTTTTTTAAAATTAAAACAGTCCTTCTTTGAACGGAGCCTTAAGAAAAATCCATTGTGTTTTTATTTTTATTTTTTCTCATTGCATCTATAATTGTTCAATCTCAAGGTACGACAATTATGCCAAAAAACAGAGGAAGAGGTAGAAGAATATATTTTTTTTTGTTAAAAAACCAAAAAGGAAAACTTTTTGTAGATATAAAGAAAATGATTTGTTCTTCATCATCGTCATCATCATCACTTGTCCTATGTATCCCAATCATTCCGCTACTATTAGTTTTCAGCTTTTTACTGTTTACCCAAAAAGAAAATATCATAAACAATATGAAAAGTTCAAGAAAAAACAAGAACCCCATTATTAAGTAACTATTAAATGATTTTTTTTATAAAATTTTTAGGAAGATTATATATTGGAGCTCCAATGTACGTAATATACTTCTCTTTTTTCTTTTTTTTTTAAGAAAACAACAAATAATATTCGTAAGATAAGGATGACTTTCTTCCTTTTTAGTACCGAAATTGAAAAGCACAAGACGAAAAGATAACCCACAATCCCACACCCATCAATACCTGAATCGAATGTGGGGTTAATCCAATTTTATCCGTCTCAGCAGAAAAGCCAGCGCAGTCTCTGCAACCACCCGGTGTAGCCATGGCCACAAGTTATAATGTAAAAGGATCAAGCAGTTTTTATTTATTTATTTACTAAAAATAATTGATATAATATAATATTAAATAAATAAATACATAATATTATGATTAAATTCTTGAATAATTAATAATTTAAATAATTTAATAATAATTTTTTATTAAAAATAAAAATTTTTAAATTCAACTCACATCACATACAAATTAATTGAATTGAGGTGAGAAGGGATAATATGCAGATAAAAAATGAGAATTTTTTTTTCTCATTTTATAATTAAAAAAATTAAATAAAAAGATTAATTATATAATATAATATAATATTATAAATTTATAATATCATAATAATATCATAATTATAATATTTTTATTAAACTAAACACATTTTGTGTATTCTTAGCAAAATGGTGCGGGATCGTTACTACACCCCTGCCATCCTTGTTCCTAGTACAATATTACATATTCATATTATTTAATTTATTTATTTTTAATAAATTTATTTTAACTTTTTTACATTTTAAATATACATTTTAGATAAAAATTTAATATATTATATAAATAATAATTAATTTTTTTTATCAAATAAACATACTTGACAAGAACTTTATTTAGAAAGAAAAGGCTTTTTAATTATCATTTATATAAGTTGTTAATTTTTTAAATAAAATTTATATTTAAAAAATTAAAAAATAAATCTACTAAAATAAATAAAAAATAGTAAAATATTATACAAATTAAATTATAATAAATTATATCATTTATACTATCATATCAAATATAAATCTCATGATATTAAATAATTCTCATCTAATAATTTTTATTCTACTTAATTGGCATACGCTTTTCATATATCCTCCTCCCTTTTTTTTTCTTTTTTTTTTTTGAAGTTAAAAATAAACTAAAATCTAGCATATTCGAAGCCGTGCAAATCGCTAACTCGATTCATCGACTTCTTCATGATGGCTACCTTAGCCAGCGTCTCAGCGGCTTTCCAAGCGGAAGTTGGCGTAAGCGGCTCACCATTTTCATCGATCACAGCCGGCACTGCCTCCCTCTCGTTAGTCCTCCTCCGTTGGATTGCCGGCACCACCTGCTTCTTCCTCCACTGCAATTCTGCCAGCTCCGCCTCCAGAGCTCTCACGTACTCCTCACCCAAAATCGAGTTCGACTGAACCAACAAGTCTCGAGCGGAAGCCACCAAGTGATGCGCGCTGGTTAAATCGTTGTGTTCGATCAGTCTCCTTGACTCGGCTATGGCTCTTGTGGAAATAAACAAATACCTCAGCCGTTCGATTTTAGGAGCAGTTGATCGGCCGGAATGAGGCGGAGGGATGAGAACCCCCTGATCTCTGCCGTATGCCACCTCCTGCGTCGCTGGATCCTTGTAAAGACATCTAATAGACATCACATGGTGGATCCCTGCCGGCAATGTCGGGACTCTCAATTCTACGAGTAATTCCCTCTCTTCCTCGGCGTACAAATCTCCAAGACGCACCGAGCCGGAACTCAGCAGAGTCGGCCTTCCGTTGCAAGAATAGACGGCGGTGATCTCAGCTGGATTGGAGCCGGATTGGAAGTCAAGCTGAATTCTTAAGTCTTGTACCACCACGCTTAATAACCCACCCACGCATTTAGCAAAGGCGTATTCAGCCGGCTCGCGACTGTAGCCGCTGCTTTGGCCAAATCCGAATGAGTGTACCGGAATTTCAATGTGAGCAAATCGGGTTGAAGACCGGTGGCCGGATCGATGCCGTTGATAGGTGGCGTTATTCTGGACTCGTTGATTATGGCCGCCGTCCGACAACAATATGATGCTGGCAACAGGATTTCTTTCCCGCCGATCTTCAAGCACTTTCGTGGCTTTCCTCAGTGCGTCGCCAACACTGGTGCCTTGACTGCACACAAGTCGCTCAACAATGTGTCGGGCGGCGCGTTGGCCCTCTGCCGTCATCCTCCGCAAAGGTAACAACCTTTTAGGGGCAGCCGAAAAGGCCACCATGGAGAGCCGGTCTGCTGAGCCGAGCGAGGAAATGACCAGGCGCATGGCGCGTTTTAGCATGTGGAGTTTTTCGCCGGTCATGCTCCGGCTTACATCGAGCACCGTCACTAAATCAATAGGAGCACGATGAGTTGGGTCCAAAAGCGACACCGTATTGCTACACTTCGATGCTGGTTTTTTCAGCGGTGGAGGTGGCGCTTTCACTCTCAAAGCCACCGCGTAAGTTTCGTACCCGCGGCCGACAGAAATGACTGCCGTTTCCGGCAATACTCTAACCTGAACGCCCCCCAATTCAGGTTCGTTAAAACCGATTTGATCGGATTTGATGGAGGACGAAGAACTGGGATTGACGAAGAACCCCTGGAATTCCTCTGCCTCATCATCTTCCTCTTCTTGTTCGACGTTCTCATCCGCTTCTGGAATGGGAATGAAGCGGCCACCAGTTGTGGGGGAAAACAATGGCTCGTCATCATCGTAGGATCTCGATTCCAGAGATTTCGGTTTCGATTCTTCTGGCTTGATGGCTCTGGGTGAACATTGGATGATCTTCTTGTCTTCAATATTGGGCTTAATGTTGATGACAGTGCTTCCCCCAACATCCACGAAGGCAGCTGGGTCATTTTCAGGGGAGAGATTCTTGTGGGCGGCAAGGAGAGGGACGTCGGTCCAGGTGGTGTTGCAGACAGGGCAAATCAGGTTGCCATGTTTGCGAACATGAACCACGATACAAGGGAAGTGAAAGGCGTGGGAGCATTCCGCCGTATAGATTGCCGTGCCCTGCCCTGTCTTCACGCTGTTCAAGCAAATTCCACAACTACTCTGCACAGGAAAAAAAAAAAAAAAAACACCCCCATAAATTCAAACTTCCTATTTCTTTTTAAAACTAAATTCAATAAAATCAGATTAGTTCTTACTCTGAACTTGAAGCTATTTCTGAAGAGCGAAAGCTTTAGCGAGGATCGAGGAGAAGACGGGTTCGACCCGCCTGAAGTTTTCGGAGTCCGGACTCCCTTTGGGGTGTTTGCATTTCTACATTGGAATCTCGGGCTTTCATCCACAGAAGGCGGCTCACTGTTACCAGTCCAGCAACGCAGAGTGGGAGTAGAAGAGTTGCTTCCACTGGAGAAAAGCCCCAACCGGGCACAAATTCTTGGACTATGACGCTGCTGCTTTTCCAAAACAGAATTGTCTTCTGGGTCCCTAGAAATGGTCGTGCAAAAGGCTCTTCTCCAGCCCGTACCCATTTTCAGAGACTGATATCTGGTTTCTATGGAATGAAGAAGAACAAGAAGAAGAAGAAAACAACAATAATAATAATTTGAAAAAGAAGTCTTGTTTTGATTGATCAGAGTAAGGGAGAGAAGACAAAATGGATGGGAGCATGGGAACGGAAACAAAAGAGACAAAGAAGTGTGATCTATAACACAGGAGGAAAGAGTGCGAGCTGCTGCTTTTCTTCTGTTTCCCTCTTATTTCTTCCCTGCTTCTTTCCTTTTCATTTCCCTTTTTTCCGCTTTCAATTGGCCCAAAAGATCTCTGCAACCAAAAGGTTTGAGATCTTCTCCTGTTTCTGTTTGTAATATACAGAGAGAAAGCTGTTTTCTTCCTATGCAAATTTATAGGGCTAAATTGCCCATGCAGTCCCCTAGGATTTGATGAGAAGATAAAATTTTCCCCAAATAAAAAATTGAAGCAATTTAGTTCCTAAAGGTCTTCTTAGCCAAAGTTCATAAAGGTTATAAAGGCCACAAAAGGTAGTCCTATTCCCATTTTTAAAAAAATAAATCAAGGAAGAAAAAGGGTTATCCTATTTATTGAATGTTCATTCGTCCTTATATAAATCAATATATGGTATTATTGTATTAACACTTGTATTAATACACAATAAAAAAATAAATATAAGAAAAGGAAAAAAAAAAAACCTTGCATTAGTAAGTGGTGGAGAGAAATCTTCTATAAAGCTTCCGTTTGGTTAATTCCCTCTAGTCTCGTACACAACAATTGACCTACATAAGTTGCTTTTTCATATTTTATCTTGTTTGGAGTTTCATGTTAGTGCTAACATGGAATTTAGTTAATTTAGTAAAGTATTAAATTTTGGTGTCAAATATTTATTGTCACTTTATTATTCATCAATCCATGTACAGATCATTAGGTATATAGTTTCAAAAAAAGTAAAAATTAAGGCATCTTAATGTTTAAATTGTCGAGACGTCCAAGTACAATTATAATTTAAGTGGAGCCTTATTTAAATAATGATTGTGTCCTATTTAAATGATGGTTGTACTCCATTTAAATAATAATTGTAATTAAACATCCTAACAATTTTAATATTAGGTTCCTTATTTAAATGATGATTGTACTTCACTTAAGTAATAATTGTAATTGAACATCTTGACAATTTTAATATTAAGATATCTTAATTTTTTGTATGCTTATATAATTTAATATTAGAGTTATTTATATTTTTAATTACAAATGAAGAGTTTAAGTTTTAATTTTTATGCATAAAAAATTAACACATAAAATTTTTAGAGAAAACTATCATGTATGTGGTGATCATGGAGATGCCGACTTAAATTCTAAGCTTGTCTGATGTCAAATCTCTCCTGTGGGCAACCAATTTAATTTAAGTTTATATATATTATTGCTTCCTTGTATGTATCTACTGTGGAGTTTCTTGTGAATACTGACATAGAAATGGTGAAGTGTTAAATCCCTCTTGTCGGCATTTGGCAATTAATGTCTCTTTACATATCATTGCTTCAACAACAAATATTCGCCTATATATTATTGCTTCTTTATATTTTCAACCATGGGAGAAGTTGTCTTGTGTGAATGTTTGAAGTAGATTCCCGTGAAGGAAATTGACAAAATGTTAATCGAATGACCCAATAAGGATTCAATTTTCATGTTTACATGTTATTGAGACTGTCAATATGAACAGATTAAAGGAAATAGAGGGGGGGAAATGAAAGAGGAGAAAAATTTTGTATATTTATATTTTTTCACCTTCATTTGAATAAATAAATAATTTTTTTTTAAAATAAAATAAAATACTTTCTTCTTGTCTCATCTCTTGTAAATTTTTTTGATAATTAAATAAATTTTTTTTTCCCTTGTCCTTCCTCTCATTTCTTCTTAACTCAAAAACACTGTAAATTGTTTATAAAAATCTTTTAAAGTTTTTCAGTCATCAGAAAACGGAAGAACTGGCCGACTAACAACTCTGTTGTCAATTGTCAACAACTACAAAAAGGTGGGAGTATATGTAACATTTATTAATTGATCTCGCAGTCTTAATAACCCAATCATTCTTTAAATTACTGTAATTAATAATTGGACTTAGTTCAAGTGAAGAAAATTAAGTTTAACAAGATACGGTGTGAAGGAATGAAGATAGGATGTCTTTCTTCTTTTGGGGGATGGGCTTCACATACAATAATGCTTACCTGCTTGGCCATTTTTTCCTAGTGTACTGGTGTATTTAAGTCAACACTCGAACTTTCAAGATTCTCAAGCAAATCAAGGAAAAGAGATGTATCTTTTTGTTTTTTTTTCAAACAAAAGGCAAACGGGGTGGAGAATGTGTCATTGTCAGGGGCCGTTTAGAATAGCTTTCCCAATATAATTAATAATTGGCAGTGAAGAGAAATATGAAAATCAAGACTTACTCACGTGGAAATATTCATCATAATTGTTAAACAAATGAGTTTTTATTGGTACTATAAAACCAACTATTATGATGGAAGTATTAAACACTTAAATATCTTGATTTTTCGTAACACTTGTTAGTTAATATTTAATAATTAATAATAATAATTATTATTTATAGTTTAAAATATTTAATTGAATTAATTAATTATAAAAAATAAAACAAACTACATTCTTAAATAAAAATTTATTTTTAAGACTGATTTATTAATAAATAATAACTAATATATTTTTAGATTCAATATATTTTATAATGTATTTATTAAAACATTATTATTTTTAAATTTAAATTTTAAAAAAATATAATTAATTATAA